CGGGTCGCAATTTATTGACAAAGGAAAAAGTGGGTCCCGAGGCCTGACCAGTTGAGAACCACTGCACTAAACAGTTAATAAAAACAATAGTACCCTGCATAATAATAATAGCCCTACATTGTCTTCTGACTTTGGTCTGGTTATCTGGGTTACCTTAATTTATTTCAATGATCTCGACCAGCCTCGACACCATTTCAAACAGTCCACTAATAAGAATCAGATTCAATATGAAAAAAAGGGCAATTACTCATATTAATAAATCCCTCTTAAATATGTTTATCAACCCAAGCACAAAAGGATGAACCAAAAACATCCTCTTTGCATAGTGGCAGTTCCTTTCAGAGACCCTGCAGAGCGGCTGTGTGACATACAGCCTGTCATCTCCAACATAGTCTCAGTTATTGATGGCAATAATACAAAACCATGACCACAATAAAGTAGAATGCTCACATAGCAAATTCAATTGTAAGCAATATCTACAGTACTACCCAGCATGTACTAAATGTCCCATAACAAAAACCCTTTGAAGTTAAACATGACAAAAACAGCTTATTTCCAATAAAAATATCTTATTCATGCAAAGGTTTCGATGCCACACATTATTTATTAGACCATTTAAGTTTATTGGTGGGATGTTTGTCATGAGAGTCATCTTCATGGCTATGTGAGCACACAATGACGCATTGTTATCGTCTGCACGGCCATGCAAGCAGATTACAGTTCTGCAGGGAAATGATCAGCCTCTGCCCGGACTGTGCAGCCACAGGGCAAACATGGAAAACACTGAAGCTCAATTTTGCACCGGGAGGTTCACAACACCTCAGGGCAACATACATGTCAAATAATAAGATTTTAAATAAGATGTCCTATCCCTTCAAAAGATCTGTGAAGTATTATTCAGCATGCCACTGTGTGTCACTGCACCTGAGGTAGAGTCAAGCAGTGTAAACACAAAACATTGAATCACATTTTTTTTCTAATGCTGACCTCATTTTCTTTCCCTCTTTTCTTCTTTTTATTTCAAAGAGTTTATAGCCTTCAAAAAAGAGAAACATAATTGGGTAGAAAAAGGTTGTGCCACTGTATGCGTCTGCAATTGTGTCTGAATGTCGACATATGAAAATGAGTGGAGGTGTTTTTTTTTTGGTGTGTGTGTGTGTCAGACTGCTGGCTGTGGTCTCGGCATCAGGTGACCTTGGTGATTGAAGAGTGTGTGGACAAAAATAATTAGATGTTTGCAAACAGACCATCGATGGGACCGCTAAAGGGGGCTCAGGTGGGGATTGACATTGCCAGAAGACTTTGCATCTAACCAATAAGGAAGGTGAAAGGGAAATAAAAAGCAAAGTACAGCAAGAGTCAGACAGAGTGTCACCAATCTTTTTCTATCTAGACAAACTCTCCATTTTGATCCCAAAAAAAGCTTAACAACTAAATAAAGCTGTCTATAAATAAGCACTGCTGGTGTCGCACTAAGGCAAGACTGACAGATCTGCTTGTAGATGCATTTTGAAAATATATTTCTCAATTCTTCAAATAAAGATATGATGGGACAGTTCAGGTGGATTACATGTCAGCCCTCTCCCCTTCTGTCAACAAACATTCCTCCTTACCTGGCTTCTTCAAATATATAACATCACAACATAGTCAAAGCGAATAAACACAGCCTGGGGTAGAAGTGGTGTACCATTAACAAAAAATGGGAGGTTTCAATCTATAGAACAGCCAGTGTAGGGCGGAAAAGAAAGCAGTGACTTCTAAGGGGAGGATACAAGAAGTAAATGGATCCAACATAATGCATGTATCCTGTCCTATTGAATGTCATGAATTATATCGGTCAACAGTGGAATTTTCTTGAAAACTGGATTTTTTTAGAGGCACATTTTCAAGTGCAAAAAAAGAATAGAAGAAAATCTGTTCGGTTCCGGTTTATCATCTAATGACCCCTTAGATTTATAATTGATGGACCATATAGGCTTTAAATACATCCTAATACTTCAATGCAGAGTGACAAATTTAAAAAGGGGAAAAAAATATGTATGAGAGACTCAATATAACCGGCGCGTCCATGGTGGATTTACTGAATAGTTTGATGAGTGTGAAAAGGATGTGAAGCATAAGCTTCAGAGCCGTACCCCAGCTGAACATTTATGGGAGATTTTGTAGTCAGTTCCAACGTGCTTTTCACACAAATGTAGGGAATATCTAGTTCATCCCTTCAGTAGAGATGCAGAGACTCAAATGAGCAAGGAGCGTTAAAATGCATGGCGGCTTATCACCTAAGACAGCAGATTATACATAAACCAGGCTAATTCACAGATGATCTCACTCAGAGTTTGCTCTTACCGATTGTAAATCTTTTTTCAGTATTCCAATGGTGTTTAGCTTGTGGTGGCAGTTTAATACTAGACATCTTCAAGCCATGAGATATGAGCTCATATTGGGGGGTGGAGAGACAAAGAAAGAGCGTGAGAGATATAGAGAGAAATGCTGTGACAGAAGTTGTGACAGAAGTCCGGAAGTGGAAACACCAGGTGGTCGAGCGTCTGGAGGCAGGCAGTCAAAGAGCATTGTTGCCTTGACAACTGTGATGCCTTGTTGATGATAATAACTGAGCACCTAGCCACAAGCAGCCCACACACACACAATGTAAGTGTTTCTATATTGCATGTGTGCACGGCATGTACCATCTACAACATGCTCTGTGTTATTGGCAGCAGTGATCAGTGTTTTGCCGCTGTATCAGCATCAGTACAGCCAGTGTTCTGGGTAGAGTTGATTATTATTGTCTTCTCTCTCCTCTTTCTTTCTTTCTAGAGACAGTACAGTTCATCACAGGGCAAAAGGCCAGCATCATGCCGTATAGAAAAGGGAGCATATCTGATTCAGCCGACAAGCCATCTGTTCACCCAAGCCGCAGTGGGATCTGATCAATACAGCCACAGTGGACGGTGAATGTGGTTGCCGTGGTCTCCCACATTGACTGGAATAATGGATCAGCTCTTGGGTCACAGTGGACTCATTGTACCAGCAGCATGACCACTGAGGTTCCTGCCTCCACACCTCTTTGTTTCAACTCTTTTAATTAAGGAGCTGGGCAATAGAATTCCCTAACAGGCTTAGCTATTGGCAGTCTCGCAACCACAACTGATTGTACAATTCAGGATTTAGCAAGTAAAGCTTGGTATGGACAACACATAGTGCTTTAATTTGTCAGGGTGTCAGGCCTTTGTGTGTTAATGCATCAGCCCAGCATTCATAAATAAAGTGTGGGCCTAACGCAGGTACTTATGTAAAAGGGGGTGCATTTCAGTTGAATGCTCTGATGAGCTTTCACTGATCTGATGTGGACCAATCCAGAGTCCTTTTCTCTTCCGCTGCATCAGCTGGTGATTTCTGAGCACATAGCCACTGCAGCATCCTACCACCTCATCCTCCTCCACTCTCGCTCTTCTCCTCCCCCACCCTCCCTCAACCCCCTCTCCTCCTCCGCCTCCTCCTCTCCACCTGCTTTTAAATGCATGGCGCTGCCCTGCCAGGCCGGTCTATGCAGGCAGCATCTCCCTCCTCAGCTCCTCCAGAGTAAAGGAGGAGGTAGAGGAACAGGATGGATGGTTATCAGCCTGTGTGCAGCCAGGGGGGTTGAAAGGGAAGGAGACAAGGTCGGAGTGAGCCAGCAAAGCCCCCCTGCTCTTCTGTGTAGTACCAATAATCGATTGGGAGATGAGAGGCGATCTGAATCTGGACTCTCTAGTCTGAATGAGAGGAAATGGTTTAGCCCAGATGTAGGCTGTCCTGCCACGAGCATCCATTGAGTAAATAGGCCACTGGCTACATGAAACCCTGAAATAGTCAACCTCAAGAAAGCACTGCACTGAAATCAGGTGATACATTATATCTACATTATTCTTGTTCCTCCTCAAAAGAGAGTGAATACTGATCAGAGCCCCCCTCCTCATGGCAGATATGTAATATCATGCAGTGCACGCCATTGCCTGATGCATGGAGCAGGGAAACAGCCTGGCAGCATGCAGCACACACGTCCTATATCCTCCTAACGCATTAGTCCTCCGGACCTACGTCTGCTGTGCATTTTTCTCATAGCCTATGTTTCGTAACAGGAAACACCAGTCATGTTAAAACCTCCAGCTGGATTAAATCCTTATGTGTAGGATAGGCCCAACATCGCAGACACTACCTCCGATGGAGGGGCAAAGATAGAAGGGGGTGGCAACGTATCTGATCCATAGATAAAATGATCGCTGTTGGAGGCACAGCAATATAAAGCCCTGGCCGTCTCACAGCTAGATACATCACTGCTTTGCGCACACGATGCAGTGGCCTGCCTTCAACAATAGGCCTATGCATAATTTTAAGCCATTCTCATGCACACATATGTCGATGGATAGCATAATGCTAGTCGGCCTTTGTCCGGTATGGATTGATTTTGTTTCGGAGCTCGATAAAACTGCATGATTAGTTTAATAAAATAATCCAGTTTGTCTCGATGTTGTACGCAACGTTGTAACGATTCGCCGTGTGTTACAACCTGCCTATGCATCACTTCAGGGTACATATCGGGGTCAGGAGAATAGCCTGCATACATACACTTTCCCCTATTCACCACTTTGACTGCAAATGTGTTTAGCTCGTTGCACCGCAAACGGGTCATTTAGTCAACAATGCCTGGATATTAAACTACCCTTCATGCCTTGGTGGGGTCACATGCTTCATTCAGCTCCGCTGGGTTTTACAATAATACAGCTTCAGCCTATTTATCCTCCAACACACAGACTTATGTATGCATCTTTTTATCTGCAGAAAAGAAAAACTCCACATTCATCCTCCGAACAAACAAATGACATCATCCTCTGAAAGCCACACAACCACGGGAGTGAAGCATCGTAAATAAAACATAGCGGGTTAGGACACCGTGATTCCTCTGTGCTCTATGGCTGCCTTTCTGTGTTTTCTTACAGTTTGGTGCTGTTTGCACTCACCAGGTTCAGCACTGTCTCCACGATGTCCCTGTTGCTAACCTCCCCGACCTGGATCAGGCCCACCAACACGGCGAATTTCATCTGGATATTCCTGATCGGGACAGCGGGGTTGATCACCCCGGCCGGGAGGACCATAGTGCCGGCTGAAGACACCATCCTTTCCCCGGTGGCGCCGGAGCCAGCGCCCGCGGCGAACTGCTGCTGCGGCGTCTGCACGGAAGAGCCCGGCGGAGGATGGGAATCTGTGTCCGTGAGCGAAGAAGCAGAGCCCGGTGGTACTGAAACCGGCTTCTCGCTCGACATTTCCCCTTGGAAACAGGGAGGAGAGGAGCGGTCGCCGCTGTCTCTCACAACTGCTCTACCAGCGTCTGCTGCTGCAAAAGACACATCCACTGCGCAGGAAAAACAAAAGGAGCGCGACGTTTAAAAAGAAAACCTCTGAATTCACCCTATCCTCCTGAAAATGTGTAGGGATTCATAAGGCTGGGAAAAAAAGGGATGGAGGTTTGACAGAATGGTAGCCTACGCTTCTTTCTCTCTCCTCTCTCTGTCTCTCTCTCATTGGCAGGTTGCAGTCAGTGCGGTCGTCGAGGAGAGATCGCCATGTTGACGCCCCCTGTTTGCGGCAGCGCGCTGTAGCCACACATGCGCACTGGGGAACTTTCTGGTAGGGTGCTGAAGCAGAATAATATGGAGCCATCCATGCATGGGCTACAGAGCAAAGCACCACCTCAACAACTGGGTGTTTTTTGTTTTTTAAATCGGTTTTTTATGTGTGAATGTTTTGCTTTGGAGATTTTAATCTAGAATAGTGAAGAACACCTGAAAACAGAAAAGTAAATGTACAGCAATATATACTTTTAACAGAAATTCAGATTGCAATTTAGGACGTTTGGCTTCCAGACAGAGGCTGTTTATATATTCAGAAGCCATCCATCTGTCCCACTTCTCGCTGTCTCTGTTTAACTCTGGTACCTCTGTTTCCTCATTAAGCGTCACAGGTACGCTCTCCTGACACTCATCTCAGGAGAGCTGTTGTGTGCTTTCTCACCTCCCCTCTTCTTTTTCCAATGTCCTCACCTCTCTTCTCTGCAGTAATTTTCACTTTTTGCACACACCTTCTTACATCGCCACCTCTCTTCTTCACCCTCCTCATGACCCTTATTAAGCGAAGAAGGGAAAGGCAAAACAATAAAAGAGATATAGGCTACTAACAGAGAAGAGGCAATAATTCAATAAGAAAGCCATTTCAACTTTTACAATAAGGGTAGATAGGCAGATTAAAATAATTAAACGTAAAATACAGTAATGTAAATCAAATTTCTCAAATGTAAAAAAGGTAAATTGATTATTTGCAGGTGCTGTGTTTTGTTGGTGAACTATAATAATATAAAAACAGTTTAGACCTAGCTTGTTGAACAAGAAGCAAGAGCCAGTCGTAAGAGCCTGTCTGATAAAACCCATCTGAGTGAGCAATTCTTAAAGGTCATTTTATAATTTTCCAGCAAGCGCTTTATAGATTAAATTACAGATTAGTATCATGTTTCTCTTGAGAGAAGACCATCAAACCCTGTCATATAAAATGCAATCATGGGTACCTAGACATCACTGGTAATAAATCTCAAGGCAGAGTGATAGACTGAGTCCAGAAGTTGACGAGTTGAAGAGGAGGCGTGCCAATAACTCACATTGTAGTCCAACATTTGACAGAAAAACTGCCCCAACAAACCTAGTCCTACAAATCGTTTCTTACAGGCACTAATGTAGAATATATTTGTATGGCAGAAATGCACTTTCAGCAAAATGTGGTTTCCTTCAGCCTGAAAACTAGCAGCACACACGGACATATGCCTTCTTAAAAAAATGTTTAATATCATGCTCTCATCCTAGGCTAGTTGACTCAAAGGTCCAGCAGGTGTCTGTCACACACCCATGCTCACTCACACAACTACAATATCCCCTGGTGGCTGCACAGACCGAGGCTACTGGTTCACTACCTGTATAAGCCTGTTTCACACTCCATGTGTTCTTTCAACAGGACACAGCTGCTGGGTAGGATTCCCATTAGCAAAGCGACTTTACAGGCTGATTCGTCTGTCTGAGTGTATTTTCATATCGGCAGTGATGCCAGTCTCTTTGATGTCTCGCTTCCCATTTATACTTGAGATGCTGACCGTTGGCAGGGGGTGAGAGGGTGGGGGTGACATGGGAGTCCCATTTACTGGCTGTGTGTGAGCGAGTCACATTTGGCACAGGTGCACATTTGAAATTATTTGAGGATCTTACAGATGAGCAGGGGCCATATCATTTTTTTTTTTTAACTTAAACAGCACAAAGGAAATGAAGGAGACAATCAAACATGCACTCTGTCATATGCACACTTGCACATAACGCTTGCATCTGTTACACATGCACTTTCCTCACACTCATAGAAGCAATTCCAATCTAACACATGCTATCTTGCTCTCTGGTGCGCACACGTGGGTACACACACACACACACACAAAAAACCACAATAGCACTCTCACACACAAACACACTCCCCTTTGTTTTCAGACAAAGGCCTGCTCCTGCAGCTTTGTCATGATTCCACAAAAGACTTCTTTAGGAGAAAGAGAGGTCTTAACCGGGATCTGGCTGGTGATTGGGTAAAAGAGCTAACATTGTTCTATTCTTACCCATCCCTCACCTTCAGTAGAGGTGCAGTACTTCTGGGCAGGCAGTCATTTTCCTCTCTGTTTCGCTGCACTTTTGAAGAGATGTGTGGAGGTGTAGAGCCCATGCCATGTGTGGGCCGATGATCAGAGAGCTGGAGCTTCAGAAGAGACCGGGACTCACTGAGGATCAGGCTGAGAGAGAGCAGCAGAGGTGACGTCTGTCAGAGAGGGTTTGAGCAGTGCATATTGGAGAAAATGCTGTTTATTTCATGGCTATTTATTTTACTCATCGTGGTTTTGGTAAGATTTGGTTTGACAAGTCTCTTCTGTCAGCTCTTATCCTTTGAATGACTGATGATAAAAATGACATCACACTTGATATGAGCAGCAGGGTATCAGGGTAAAGGTTTTAATTTGAGATGTTTCAATTCTGCTTCCAGATCTCTGTCTATGCTATTAGGAACAATACAAAAGCAGACCTGTTGATGTATGGAAGGATGACCTCAGATAGTCATGAAAACAGAGGTAATAACTTCCTGTTTTCACAGACGGATGTTAGTCATCATCAAGATTGCTGTGCCTGGGTGTGCATCCATGTGCACTCCTGTGTGTCCGTGTTCGTGTGTTACAAGAAAGAGACTGATAGAGATAGAAAGAAATATTACAGAGCCGGTAGAACAGAAAAACCTGCTGTGTGTTTGCATGCAATGTGTCAAATTAAGCTGCTGTGTTATTTAGTGAACAAAGAGATTTTCTACAAAAATAACAATTTGATCAAAACAGCATGAGTCGAGTTGGGTTGAATCAAATGCCTTACTTTGTCAGTTTACAAATTATAATTGACCAATTATCATTGATTTTTAAAAACAGACTGTAGTAGATACACAAAAACCCTGTGGCTGAATTATCTTTAGAATAATTATTTTCAGACATATTTTCAGCCTTTGAACAAAATCTAATTTTCCCAATAGGGTAGAGTGGAATTTGGGGAATTTTCTTGACCTTTACTGTCTGTATACTGAAGCGAGGCAGAATGAATAATAAAATGTGCAGAGATCAATAATACAATCTTGAAAGCTATTGAAACAACATTAATGGTGTTAAAAATATCTCCATGTTAACAATTCTTTTCCATCCACTTTTCGTCTAAAATAATTTATATCCTCACTGAGGGCATTATCACTGGATTTTCTTATTGGCTCCTTTACTTAGATCCTCCGCAACCTTGGGACTAAATGCTTTTAACAAACAGGTCATATTCCCTGTCGCATTCACTCGGTTACTCTTATACTGGAGGAATTGCTGGAGACAATCCTCAAAGGACACTAGCTTATTAAAGTTTAAAAGATAAAAGGAGTGCCTCTGCATCAGTATGAAGGAAAGAGCGCAAGAGAAAATAATGTCATCCTTCTAAAATCTCATAACCTCAATATTGGTCATTGTCATGTTTTAAGGATTACACACTTCTTCATGAGTTTAAGAAGATTAGACCATCTTTGCTCTTATGAATCCCTTTCAAAGCCCCTCTGGATGAACTCAGAAGTGTGCAGTGATGAAGGTTTAAACACGCTTCTTTTATTTCTTTATCAAGGAAAATGTGCAGAAATAAGGGATGGAAAGGAACAAAATGTCCCAATAGTAAATATTTTTAATAGACAAACTTTCCCCAACCTCATTTTCATTATCCAAAATGAGGCAGTGGTTCGTAGTAACACTCTCTTTGGTCTGGAAGGCTGAGATGAAGGAGCCAGTTCTTTGACAGGGGTCACAACCTGGGATCAAGGTCTTGGCTCTTTGACTGCCCAGAAATGCAGGGCTCCTGAACTCTGATAGGGTTAGGGTCTTGAATAACCCAGCTGAGATGAAAAAGGCCCCTCAGTTTGTTAAGAAAGCTCATGTACTGTACAGTGTTTGGACCTGATGGCTATCGAGTTTGCAAGGCCAGCTCTGAAAATGTGTACCCTAGAGAACAGTGAACAATAACATCTTGTTAGCTGCATCGGCCCTTCTATTGTCAGAAAACATGACAATTATCCAGTATGGCTCAATCTCTTCAACCCCAAGACCCTCAACCCCCTGATGAGTCAATTATGATGCCATCAAGCATTGTTCCAACCCTCATATTAAAAATTCTACTCAGGATTTCCAAAGATATCAAATATGTCACATTGAATTACTGCATAACCATATGGACAACACAACCAGAATCTACTATGAGTTGTTTGGACATTTTAATCAATACAAAAGTGTGATAGCTTTAGAGGCAGTGGAAAAAAGTGTTCTTCACAGCTATCTTTGTTAAACAGTATAACACAAATGTGTTCCATATTCAAAGTTATGTTTAGGTTACTTAGTGAATTATAAAGGGACAGAGTTAAAGCCCTTACACACACGCATTGTAGTGCATATGGTATCAGGAGAACCATATATTGTATGTACGAAGTGGACGTATCACCCATTTGAGGCCTCAAGTTTGTCATCTTTTTTTTGGAACAAGCAGAGACACCGAAGGGAGGAGTAAAGTTCAACTGAAAAAGATATTTTTAGGCAACTTAAATGTTTTAATCCTACTTTCGTGAGCTGAAAACACAATGTGAAAGGGTCGAGTTGTAAGACAAAATCACTCACAGCACCCAGATCTGAAAA